ATATATATATATTTAAGGATTATAAAGCTTACTTAAAATATAAATAAAAATATGAATAAAAATTTAAATAAATAAATCTTAATAAATATATGAAAATAATATAAATAAAAATATAAATAAAAATATAAATAAAAAATATAATAAAAATATAATAAAACAAAAGTAACGTTTGATCAATCGTAGAATTGAAAAATCGTAGACATATAATTAAAATAAATAAAAAATATTAATAATTAGTTAATTATATATATATAGATAAAATATTATGAAATAATAATTATAATAATAGTGAAGGAAAGAATAAATAAAAATATAATAAAAATATAATAAAACAAAAGTAACGTTTGATCAATCGTAAAGTACAATTTGATTGATAATTAAATTAAATAAAAATAATTAAATGTTAATTAATTTATATATGTATCATTATTATTAGATAATAATAATTATAAGAATAGTGAAAAGGGGAAGAAAAAAAAATTGTTAAAATTTAAAAAAAAAAACAAAAAATTTGATTATGGTGTTTAATGGTTGATTAGCTTTAGTTAAATGCTTTGTTTTATTTGTATTTTTCTTTTGTAATTTTTTGTTTTTGTATTTTTTTTTTTTGGTTAATTAATTCTAAGGTATATACCTCTCTTGACAATTAATTTTCAGTCCCATTGGTGAATTATTCCGGTCACGCATTAGACAATTTCCTGCTTTAGTGAATTGCTGTACCATCGATTGGTTCTGTCCCTGGCCGGATTCAGCTTTACAGGTTTGAATTATTTCATTTCACGTTTGTTACAACACAAATCATAAATTCATGACAATTATATACAGTACATATCGTACAGTATAGTAGTTAAAAAATAATAATATTAATAATTGTTTAAACTTACAATTCAAATGAACCCCCTTAAGCGGTAAATGATTTGGAAAAGAAACAAAATGGTCAAATCCTTTTTTTTCTTTCTTTTGCATAAAGACATAGTTTAAAACATTGTTTTGACAAAAAAAAAAAAAAAATGAGAAAAATAATACTGCAAATGATCAATATTTTTTTATGTTAATTTTGAATTTCTGTTTTACATTACAGAGAAGAGCCGAATATTGCAATGTTACACATATACAACATATTGCAATGTTGTTGTTTTTTTTGTTCGAATTACTATTTTGGAAAAAAAAAAAAAAACGATTCTTTTTCTTTGCTTTCACATTCTTCTTTTTCATTTTCTATTACATAAATTTAAGTGTACAAAAAAAATATAGTAATATAAAATAATAAATACGGCGTTCGTGGTTAACTCGTGCGTGCGAAAATCGACCGAATTAATAATGCGCTCGAATTAATTCGAGCGTGTGCTGCTGCTTAAGGGGTTGTTGTTTAGTTAAATAATTTTATACAAAAAATTATTTATTATCATTAATTATTTTCTGAAAAGTTTTCTTCCATCAAAAAAAGATGAAAACAAGAACAAAAACAAAAAAAAGCACAAAAAGAAAAGAAAGAAAATTATTGCATATGTATAATACAAGTGGTGAAGAAAATAATATTGAATAATTTTTTTTTTTTTCAATGTAGTTAAACAACAATTTGTATGACAAATTATTTATTATAATTGACATTTTCTAAAAAGATTTTTCCTTCCAAAAAAAAAAAAGAAGAAGAAGAAAAAAACATTATTTTATTTCACAGACATTTGGGGAGGGGAGGAGAGGGGTGGGAGGGCAAATTACGCGCGCACACATTTGAAATGTTTATTTAAAAATGAATATTCGTAGGATTAACAAAAATAAAATATGATAAGATTTTAGTTGATTGTACTCTTATCGTACTATATACAATACAAATATAGATATACACAAATGTTACAATTAATAATAATAATAATAATAATAATAATAATAATAATAATAATAATATGAGTGTGACAGAAACTATCAGGAAAGGTTTACAAAAATTCATTAGAATGAATATCGAGTAATTGTTCTTTTTAATTTT